TCATAGCATATGCTTCAAGAACATTATCGAGAGCAGAACGAAATTATAGCGTGACAGAGAGAGAATTACTTAGTCTCATATTTTTAATTGACAAATTTCGTCCATATATAGAAGGCACTGTTTTCAATGTAATCACTGATCACCATAGCCTCCTTTGGCTAAATAACCTTAAAGATCCTTCAGGAAGATTAGCTAGATGGTCCGTCAAGTTACGGCAGCATACTTTTCAGCTACGTCATTTAAAAGGCATTCATAATGTAGTACCTGATTTTCTTTCAAGGATACCTCCTGGTGAAAATAGTCTAGAAATAAATTTAATTGATGTCAGGCCTGTTGACACAGACAAGTGGTACTTCTCTCTACGCAATAGGATCCTTCGAGACCCTGATGCATATGCACATTTCAAGGTTGAGGATGACCAAATTTTCAAGTATGTTCCTTCTAAAATACCTATCAAGTCGAATATCATTGAATGGAAAGTTATAGTTCCTAATTCTCAAAGAATTGCAATTATAAAAGATTCACATGATCCTTCTGTATGTAGTCATTTTGGTTTTTTCAAAACACTATCTAGAGTACAACAACACTACTACTGGCCCAAAATGAGATGTGATATTCTAAAATATGTTAAATCATGCAAGGTTTGTCAGTCACAAAAATTATCAAACACTCCTCGTATGGGACTTATGGGAGCTGAGCGTACAGTCAAATTCCCTTTTCAGACTATTGCAGTAGACATTATGGGACCTTTCCCTAGATCTTCTAAAGGCTTTACTTACTTATTGGTAGTCTCAGATTTCTTTACAAAATATACATTATTGTGTCCTATGCGTGATGCGAAAGCACCTAGTGTTATCAAATTCATGGAAAACCAAGTATTTTTAGTATTCGGGGTACCACAATTTATAGTTTGTGATAATGGTCAGCAATTCGCTGGTAAACTGTTTAAAAAGTTAGCTGATACCTACAAGGTACAAAAAATATGGTACACCCCTCGTTACTCGGCGCAATGTAATTTTGTAGAAAGAACGAATAAGACAATAGGTCAAGCAATTAGGAGTTATGTAATAGATCATAAAGATTGGGATAAAGAATTATTTAGGATTCAGCAAGCTATTAACACATCTATACATGAAGTCACCCTGTATAGTCCAGCATTTTTGACATTCGGTCGTAATGTACCTCTTTCTGGTGAATATTATGGCAATCTTCCTAGCACCCAAGATATTGAACTTTTACCTGACAGCAGGGATAGTTATGTTCAGAATATCAGTGGTCTTTGTGATGTCTATAAGACAGTTCAGGAGAGATTACATAAGGCTTACCAGAGGAATGCATCTACTTACAATCTTAGAAAGAGAGATCATGTATTTAATGAAGGCGATAAAGTCTGGAGAAGAAACAAAATTCTTTCAGATGCTTCAGTTAAATTTAGTGCCAAGTTAGCCCCCAAGTATGTGTTATGTACAGTGAGAAAGCGGATATCTCGCTTAGTTTATTCTTTGGATAATGTCGATGGATCTCCTGGTGGACAATGGCATATCAAAGATTTAAAACAGTATTTTGGATCCAATTCAGATGTCTCAGTGGGGTAGATAATCTATTGGATAGATATTTTTGCTTGAACCATAGTTATTTTGATTTGTATACCTATTGAATAGGTTTGGTTTTAGGTAAAAATTAGTTTTTGGAATTTTTCAAGATGAAAGTTCAATTTTTTTGGTGCGTTATGGCACAAATAATTTTAGAGACTACTGTCATGTAGTAAAGTATGGTTCCGTTGTAACCTAGATTAAGGATACATGGTGTATTCCTTGAAAGTATGCATACTGGACACTGGTGTTTATTTTTTTATTTTTTTGATGATCCAAGAGGTCTGATCAACCTGAGCATCATTATTTCCCTGATGTAAATATTCAATTTTCTGGATAGGTTATTTTGTAAATATTTTTTTGTAGTTTTGATGAAAAAGGATTTGACTTTACCAATTATGACATTTCATGATTATGACTTTCCCCTAATATAGACTTACCAATTTTGACTTCCATTGAGGAACGTTTAGTACACGCAGTTACTATTTAATCCAAAGTAATCATAAACTAGTTACTACTCAGTATTTGTAGTTCAAAACCCTTATAAAAAAATGTGTCAACAAGTTGCCAATTTTTTCTCTTAGGAGAGGGGTAGATGTAGCGTTTAGATTTTCTGAATATAGTTTTGGTTTTGATTTTCATACAGGTCTTGGAAATATTCAGGTAAATAAATCATCAATTATGTACATACTCACAGAGAACACTCAGTCAGATAAATGATGCAAATACCTGGTATAGTTAACACTTTTAATTGCAGTTGTTTCATATCACACACCTTTTATTTTGGAAATTTATCATCAATTTTCTTAGCATCCTCTCTGATGTCAGTACACCTGTAGGATGTGATGATCCAAGCTGAGGCTTCTTTTTCTGATCCAAATAAACAGGTTCTGATATTGAAAGGGGTCAATGCAGAAAGACAGGTTGATAAGTGAAAGTTCTTTTAGCCTGAAATCAAAAGGTTAATTAGTTTTTTTTGGGGACTTATAAGAAAACAATCGTTTACCTGTAGTGTTCTCCAACTAGGATGAATGGATTTGCTTGACTATTTCAGGGATCATTAGGTTGACTGTTCCCTTAGGACGTGTCCCTTTTGAAGAAGAAGTTTATTAATTTTCTAGGATTTTCATTGTTGTTAAGAATGAGCTCACTTGACACCTTTGACATTTTTGATGTTTTTTCTCCAGGACGTCATTGTCAGTTTGACACACTTCACAGTCGCATGTCTTGTCAGCAATTGTTACTGCCGCTGGCTTGGACGACTATGGAGGATGGCTCACGACAGTGTTTCGTCGACGAGTTTTGAAACAGCCGTGGTTCGTCGAAGAGTTTTTCAAACAGCCATTGGTTTAACCCATGTGAAAAATAATTTCTCCTGTGTGTGACCTTCTACGTATTGTGTTGGCAATAATGGTACCAGGGATTTTTGGATGAAGTTAGGGAAAAAGGAGGGGTTTTGGAGTTGGAGAAACTTCCGGCCTTGTGGCTTTTTCTCAGCGGCCATGATAGAAGAAGGCTGAAGGTTTTGTTGGTCCGGCAGTAAGCACTATAAATTTGGCTTTTTAGTCAAACCCATTTTGGGGATTTGTATTTTCGAGTGTTTTACAAGCTCTAAGGCCAATAGCCAAGTCATTTTTGTGTTATCATTGAGAGATTGTCCATTGCCACCTGGGAGCCCTACAGCATGGCCCCCCAATTTTTTGGTGCTGGTTCGACCCTTCGCAGAAGGTAAGCAGTTTAAACTGGCATGATTTTATTTTTCGGAATTGGTATGTCTCGCCATTCTGGCTGTATTTTTTCTTTTTGTGATCCACGTGGTAGGAGATGTACAGGATGTTAAGTGAGCCTATTTTTTTCAATAGGGTCGTAGGAGACCATACTCCTCGGTAGAGATCGTAGGGTCGTGAAACGGCCGTATGGAGGCTGTTTGTGTCTAGTTCCATTGAGGACACCACCTTTCCCTCGTCAAGATCTCCCATAGGACGATCTGACCATCTTGTTCGGGGATTTTGACCAGTGGAGACCAGGAGTACTCTGGACTCCAGGCGCAGCACCGTATGCTGAGCTGCTGAGCTATACTTCGTTGTAACGCCAGGAGGAATACCAGGAGGAGAGACAGCGGAGCTTAGCCCACCAGTTCAGCGGAGGGCCACCTTTTCGTATGTGTTTGTCGCAGTGACCTATGCTGCTCACCTTTACACCCAGTGGACTGTGATCGGGGTGATCTGAATCACTGGAGAGGACCACGCCAGGTTTTTATGAAAAACTGAATTTTTCACCTGTTTTCATGTTTAGTTTTTTATAAATTTCATCATTCACCATCATATGAAAATGAAGGCTTTTGTGAAGCTTTCCCATGGTACCATGTGACAGCGGTTGTCATTTTTCATATTTCTTTTTACACCATATCAAACTGAATTTTTATACTATCCCGTGTTACTGTTGGATTATGATGATTTCTTGTCTCATTTCTTATTTGAGTTTTGAGTAATTATCTTAGTATATTAATTCATTTTACATAGCATTTCAGACCTTGTAATTTTTATACTATCCCGTTTTACTGGTGGATCATGATGATTTCTTGTCTCATCTCTTATTTGAGTATTGAGTAATTATCTTAGTGTATTAATTGCAAGTTCTAAGGCCTCTACAGCGATTGACATGTGCCTTGTCCATTTGGGTGTAATAAATAGGTTTTGAAGATATTTTTAGTTTCATTCATGTACTTGTCTGTCCCAGCAATCTAAGAGAATTTTTTATACATATTTAGGTGTAAATATTTGGCTTTCTCAGTTTCCCAAGTATTATCAACTTTTCAAATAAATTGAGTGGCGCCCTTAAAAAAAAAAAAACTTGAATTGATGGGCACTTAATTCTAATGCGAATTCACTTATCTGTTCTCCGATGAAAAGCTGCCGTCTGCATACATGTAACTTATTTTCTTATATTCTGTAGTAATTATTTGGAGGTTGAGAAAAGTAGGCTACAATATGTATATTACATTTTTACTTGACAGTGGATACTTCCCCATTATTTTGAACATATTCATGAACACGGAGATTGTTTTTTCAAGTTGAAAAATATACTGAGCATTTTTGTTATTATTATTCGCTAGCAAATATCAAACAGATACAAAAGACTTCATATGTAAAGCAGCTTTTCCGTCATCTTGTTAGCTGCCATTTTTATAAGATAACACTTAGAGATGATAATCGTGTTTTTCATCATATATTTGGGTTAGAAAGTAAAATTGGTATTACCAACTCTAAGTCGAATTTACCTAGATATCCCCTTGATGAGAAAACATATTTTAAATTCCAAGAGGCACTGTTAGTAATATAAAGTAAGATATAATTCGATCAGTTATTTATTTGACTACCCATTGGAAAGTGATATTGAACAACTCACCAGCAAATGGTGGCAATCCTTTCTTCAATATCTTTTCGAATTTTTTGAAAGTCATTGTGTTATGCAACCCCTTTATAGAGGCGAAGTCACCAGTCCTGATTTCTTCCTCGTCTGAAGCAATTAGAGAAGATGAAGAGGACGAACTAGAGATAGTCTCGCTTTGGCCTTCATTGTCTGTAACCCTAGGAACGAGAGTATCATTTGAAGAAGAATTCACATTTATGACTGCATCTCCTGGTTGGTTTGTTCCTTCCCCTATTTCTTCTTCTTCTTCTTCCTCTTTATTTTCACTTGAGCTGTTTGCTGCTAGATCAATATCTGAAGGTTTCATAGGTAACTGAACCTTTAGTTTTCTTCGCTTTCCATAGAAAGGTAACAATGTGCTTTTCACATCTTTGCTTGTGCTGGGTACAGCATAATTTGTTACCAGTGGGGGCATACTAGCAGGCTTTGCTATGTTCACAAGCCGTATAATACTAGCGTGTTCTGTTTTGAGTTTTGTCAACTCTATCTTCAATTTACCTATCGTTTGTTTATCTGGTTTGGATTGTTTCAGTTCCTTCATGAATGTATCAAGTGAATCTTCTTCTTGGTTTTTGTTGTTTGTGGAATTCTGACTATCTTGAATTTCTGCTAATCTTTTTTCAAGATCTGATATAGAAGACGATATAACATTCTCTTTCTCTAGCTGAAAATAACACGAAAATAACTTAACATAAACAGCTAAATTAATTTGAATTATACATCATACCAATGATTCATATGTTTCAGCTTTTTGGGGCAATTTAGCATTCATCCTCTTCTCACGTTTTTTCTCTATAGACCCTGTTCTATCGAGGAATGTATCATCGTCGCTATCATAAAAGTCATTTTCTTCCCAGTTTTTGACCTTCCTTTTTCGAGACTCTAAAAGCACACAAGATATTGAAATGGACTAATTTCAGCATTATACAAATACATAATAGCCATTAGCCATAAAAAACTACATTATTAGTTTTCAATCAGTATTGAAATAACTCATACTACCCAAGTAGCAATTCAATGGTACGGCGACGTGTTTGAAAAAGCCGAAAATGTTCAAATTTGATATGGATTCAAACTACTACTAGAGAACTGAAATAGGGCAATAACTTCTAAATATGTTTGTTAATTTCCCAAATTTGAATGACCAACCATGTTTCCTAAGAGAATTACACTTCAAACATGGCGTAGGAGTATTGTAGGCGTTAACGCGACTTTGGATATCTGAAAACTGAAATATATACTAACTGTCAACGTTGTCTGCTAGACAACCAACTTTATACCCGAAGCGCGACTGGAGTTTCGTATCCGACCTCAAACTGAACGCAGTCTAACTACTCCACCGCTGCTCTACATTGTGGAACGCACCTCTCCTTGTCATTCAGCTTTCAGTAATGTCATTTGTGTTTAATGTCATTTCTCATATTTTTCGAATTCTTTTTTTTTCTATCGATCACATACCCATTTTTCTCTGAAATCTGGGATAGAAAAATATCGTAGAAATAATGGCTGACCATTTCAAAGTTGTGTATATAAAAAGCACGCAAGACGTAGAACCGATATCACACCAATGGGAAGAAAATGGAATAGTGTACTGGCCCCCTACAAAGGGGCAGGTTGGAAATTGTTCCTGAATTAGAAATTAAACTCTTGCCTGTGATAGGAGGCAGTGTATTTGAAGGCTCGTTTTATTTCGAATTGCAGAAGCCTTTTACCATAACGAGTTTTTGTATTTGTTTACATAAGTCATGCATAAGAGACACCAATATTCTTTTGCTGGAGATTTCCAGAAAAAACGGCCTCAGCATTTACCTGTCTAGTAAAATTTAGGAAATTTTGACATTGACATCATTCATCAGGCCCTCAACAAAAGGTTACTTGTGAACAAGTTGACTCTGTGGAAACTGTTTTTTACCCACAAGTTAGGTAAATCTTACAAGGTCGGCTCTCCGTCGGGAAAACGTTTAAATAACAAAATTTGTCACTTGAACGTTTTTAGAACCTCATTTCCATTCCCAGAATGCTTACTACTTTTTGATTGGTTGGGTGAACGTTGTAACAACATCGTAGTTTAACTAAAGTCATGCTAAACATTGAGACGACGTTGTTCGGTAGTTTAGAGAGCGTCATTTAATGAATGACTAATTTCAACACCAAGAACAACGTTAATTTCGGTGTATTATGTGGTTGTCGTCGCCAAATTGCTACTTGGGTGTTCGACACCATTACCAGAGATACAAATCAGGATGAATCAGAATGAAGTATTTTTGATGTTGAAAGATTTTTAAATCAATTTTGTTTTCAAAAAATGGGGTCAAAAATAAAATAGAAAACTATCGTCCTATAACTGTGGTATGTGTATTCTCAACTCACTGGGCAAAGAACATGAAAAATATGTTTGCTGACGTTATTTTCAAAGTAACAATGGTTAGGTAACAATGACGAATATATCATGTGCCCTTCGAACGACCCAGTATACAACGATACTGAAACGTTTTTCTTGCCACTACCTTGTTTTGCAATGAGTGATTTGTTTGGAATTTAGATATTTATTTTATTCTCCATATTTTCCTCAGAACTAACAAGGCAACAACCAGCTTAAGTACTGTAAGACTATGGAAGTAAAGAAATATCTTAAGGTACGTCGAAAATTTTTAAAAATTATCAATTTGGAGGTAAGGACAACATTTATACTTTACATATATTACTATTAATATTTGGTAGAAGTCCATATTGCTCAATGTGGAGTGAAATTTCTCAAAGGAAGGAAGGAATGCTCGAAGTCATCTCCACAAATTTTATTGGTGACGTTACAGAATCAGAAGGGACATGTTTCGGTCTTATAAAAGACCATCTTCAGACTAATTAAAAGTTCTACAATACAAAAAGATTGATGTGAAAGGATTAAATTATTTGTTCTTGACTTACTTGCAGTTGAAAGAGTGTGGTGCTACTAGCTGCAAAATTTTTGCCAATGCCCATAGTCGAAAAATCGAGTTTCATAATTATTCAAAAAGGTTCTCAATAAATGAAGAGCCCCGTGCCCTGAAAGGGCATACAGTTTATTGTGAAAATGTCATATACCAAAATGGTATATGAAGGGTAATTGCCAAACAAGTTTGACAACACGGCTTAATACAAAAGGGGGTTCCCCGTGCCTTATGAAAGCGCTACTAAAAGAAAAAAATCAATAAAATTGATGTGGCAAACAGCCTGCACGTGTTTAAATCCAAGCTGACAATGAGCAAAGGCATGTAACAATAGCTAATACAACTATTTAAAGAATGTGGAAGGTAGGAGAGCGGATGCATATAAGAGAGAGTTGAGCAAACCTGAAAACAATTATCAAAGAATATACCACAGAATGGAGAGTTGAGACCAAGGTGGGTATACTAACAGTGATGTAAATTCAAAGCATTGAAAAATTCAATGCAGTCAAAATTTCGTTGTTCATTAAGAGACAAGACAGAATTATTATTCAAGGAAGAATTGATTTCGAAAATTTCCAGAAAATTCAATTACCTACCTTTTGGACAGACATGTAGAATTTTGAGGTCCTGATTAAGATCAAAACTATGGAGTGTATTTAGGATATGATTTGCAAAATAACTTTTTGTATCATATTCATCAAACAAAGGGGGCGTGGCGTATTCTTGGGTTTTTCAATGAACTTAACATGTGCTGAAAATCTAGTTAAATTTGTTCTACCACTTTGTTCAACACATTGGGCATTGTAATCGACTATGGGCATTGGCAACAATTTCATAGCTAGTAGCATCACACTTTTTCAACTCCAAGTAAGTCAAGAAGAAATAATGTAATCCTTTCACATCAATTTTTTTGTATTAGAACTGTTAATTAGACTGAAAATGGTCTTTCATGAGACCGAAACATATCCCTTCTGATTGTGTAACAACACCATTAAAATTTGTAGAGATGACTCCGAGCGTTCCTTCCTTCCTTTGATATATTACATCTACCATAATTATTATAATTCACGCTGTTCCAAATATAATACATTCAGTAGTAGGTACCTACTAAACAGGCACATGAAAAAATAACTTGTAACCAGAAAGGTAAGGCTTTGGATGGACTAATTGAAAACAACTTGGGAATAAACCTCAATCATCATCTACTCAAGACTCAAATTGATTCGATATAGGTAGGTGATTTTGTGCTGAAGACTAAGATGATATTGATCTCGGTAATTTTTCATATTCATCATGGCTGTGTTACCTATGTAGAAGAAAGTTGTGCAGTTGAATGGTAAACATATTTGTTCGAAGAGAGAGATGCCTGAACAGATATTCAAATTCGGATTTTTCTCTCCAAAACAATATGTCTCTTACTGAGTTCCTCAATTTTTTGTACTGCAGTGTCAGCTTTATTTTCAACTGACTTCAATGTTTTTCCTATTTCTTCTTTCAATGTATTCATCTGTTCCTCATTCACCTTCGCAAGTTTTGCTGTCTGTTCTTCATTAGCTTTTTGAATAAGTTTATAAAAAATTGCTTCATCCATCTCGTTTCTTACATGGAAGATTGAATAGAGGTAACCATTGGTGATATAGGTGTCCAACTCTCAAGGAGCAAAAATTTATTTTGTCTTATACTGCCAGCCAAGCAAATTTCAACTTAAAGTTCGATCAATTATTACTGGACATTAATTTTGATTATGATTGATTACGTCCATATGAGTTAGATTTGTGTCATACCTTCAAGACCATTGGATGCCAATATATTACACCATCGATTCAACACGGAACAAAAACGAACTTTGAGTAAATTACTTCAAATTAACGAACAATTTCTCTACAGAGAGAATACATATCACAATGTAATATTCGGTAGGGTGCCCCCGGGACGCCACTGGATTTCACAATTCCAATTCAATTATGGCTAAATCAGCCCCTCATGACAAAGAATATTATTGCCAAATTTAGAGAGAATCGGTGAAAGGATATTTGAGATATTCATAAATAACCGATTTTTTCTAAAAAGTTCGACACACTGTATCTTGAAAACTATGCATTTCCGGATCCGAGTATATATAAAATAAATCTCATGTTTTCTCATGCAGAATCACCCCCTTGATTTTTTGCGCATAATTTCCGGACACCCTGTATATACGTGGGTCCGAAAATGCATAGTTCTCAAGATACATCTTTCCACCGATTTTCTTTAAATTAAGCAAAGATTTATTTTGTCATGAGGGGCTGATTTAGCACTAATTTAATTGGAATTATGAAATCCAGTGGCGTCCCGGGGGGGCACCCTACCGAATATTATTGTCAATAAAATGTGCGGAACTGATTTTTTTTAATTCTATATCTTCGTCCTATTGACCAACTAAAAATACAACATTTTGCAGTTGTTTAGATATTTTGCTTCGTTTCCGTGGACAAAAATAAATACCAATTCAATGTATAAACTTGTGCAAAAAAAATCCTTCAAAAACTGGGGTAAAAATAAATGTGTGATATTATTCGGTGGAGTGCCCCCCGGAACGCCGGTGAATTTCATAATTCCAATCAAATTTCAAGATAATCGGTGGAAGGATATTTGAGATATTCATGAAAGAAAGTTCAACACACAGTAATTTGAAAACTATGCATAAACAAGTTGTACAGCAGTTATAGGCTATTGTGAGTCAGGCTAGTGAATAAAGTGTTTTGAAAAAGAAAATAATGTGGAAGAGTGTCTTTTTTTGTTTTTATGAGTTTGTGATTAGAGGTCTATAAAAATAACAAGTCTTTATCGTTCAAGTTTGAACCCCTTGATTGGGTATGAAAGTATTGAAAAGGAATATTCTCAGACATATTAAAACATGAAAGAATGGATATATATGTGAAGAAATGCATTGTGATGAAAATAATAATCCTTTCTCGGTTTATTGAACAGAAAACTTCTTTCCTGGCTATATGCCACTTTGAACATAAAACATCCAGAAGGACAACATGAAAATAAAAATCCTCTGAAATTGAGAGTTGACATTCTCCTTCAAATTGGATAAATAATATGATGTATACAAACTCTATGTGCAATATATTTTTGAACTCAGCTCTCCATGAAGATTCCAAAAATCCAATGATTTATATTGATTCGTCTTTTTTCCTGTCACTGAATATAATAGTGTATTATTCACGTGAAAAATATTATATTTTAGCTCACGGTTTTTTGTCTGTTTGACAACACAACCTGGAGTTATAATCTACTACTTTTTGCCTTGTATAATAAATAACTATTTTCATTGATAATAAACATGTAATGGGATCGAAATGTGATGAAATATGTTTTAGCTTGTTAAAATTCAAAAAACGATTTACTGTTACATTCAACTTCGAATAGTTTGTATAATAGTTATGGTCAAATATGTCCGAAATCACATTACCACCTCTTTTCAGAAATATACGTCGGTGAACCAAACACCTTGTATAATAACAGTTGCCACTTGCCTAATAGAACCAGGAACACCCTGTATACCAGGTAGGTTTAAAAGAATAAAGTTTTCAACTTTTTTACGATTTTCAAACTAACATTTTAGACACTTTTCATTATGTCACCAGGGTGCGACAGTGTGACTACCTTTTTTCAAAACTTGTATAAATCAGAATACATTTTTATTTGTTTTTTTGTATTGAAGATAGGTGAAGCCCCTCATTCTCAATTCACTGAGTTAACCGATTTCTGGCGTGTGTCACTTGCCAGAATAGCTGGCGTTAGATTGGCAATTTCTTCCTGGATTATTCCTTTGGGGTTTTTTGTAATCCCGTTTTTATGTGAACCGTACAAGGACCCTACAAGATTTGAAGACCAACATCCAGGAAGAAATTGCCAACTTAACGCCTGCTATTCTAGCAAGTCATGAGAGAAGCCTGAAATCTGTTTACTCAGTGTATGGGAAATGGGGAATTTCACTTCTTCAAAACTATGTAAAAGAAAACTTCAGGTATTGGCCTATATTTTGAAAAAAACAAATAAAACTGTTCTGATTTATACATTGGGTTTCATTAAGTTTTGAAAAAAAGGAGTTATGCTGCCGCACCCTTTGTTATAATTTCGTACTGGAGCACCTACCCGGTTAAGAAAACGTATAAACGGCTTAATAATTCTAAGAATGTAAAAGTAGAATTTAAATTATTTGACTTTTATATCAAGTTATTCAAAATCCTCAAAAACATTACACACAGAGTATCCAAATGAAATATACTATTGAATCTCCAAAATCTTGACGATTTTGAATACCCTGTATTGGCGTTCCTAATCATATTAGTAAATCTAAAGAAGTAACCAGATTGTGGTAAAATCAGTTATTTGTATTCGGAAAGCTGTGGTGAAATTCAACTCCCTGTACCCTGATGGTTCAGCGTTTAGCAAGACCATAGTGGTAGATTTTTTGGACATGTATTTCAATATTTATTTCTCATATTCGAGTTTCTTGAAATTGGACTGCTTTTGCCTGATAAGAAATATGCATTGACGAATTATGTAAGCAGAACTGCACCGGTCGACTCATCGAAATTCATTCGGGTTGCTAGATTGGTTTGAGCCGCTCGGGGTATCTGATCCCTACACGATCCTAATTTGTTCAGTATTCACGTTATAGCTTGGATGACTACATTTGGTACTTTTTCTTCTGGGGACAAGAAAATAAATTTCTACTCTTGCTTATGCTGGAATGAATTTTAATCGAAAGTATAAACAAAGCTCTGAGCTGAGAAATATGACGTTGACTAATTTGAATTCATATCTAAGAAATTCTGAGCTGTTTTAATTCGAACCTGAAACGACAGAGAGCAACGAGAAAATGATTGGATGATTTGTCTAATATCAAGAACCGATCAAGAGAATTTCGCTAGGCGGGTTTGTTTTTTTGTGTGTGGAGTTTCCAGAATTTGGTTGGCTGCCAAAGAACAATTGCGAGAATAGCCACATAATTGGAAAACGATGACATAAGGTGAGTTTTTTGCACGTTTAGGGTTGAAAGCTATGCCGCTTTGCACGTGTTGTGTTTAAAGCTGAGACGCTTTGCACAATTGGAGTTGAAAGCTATGACGCTTTGCACGTTTGGTGTTGAAAGCTCCGATGCTTCGCACGAGTTGTGTTGTAAACTAAGACGCTTTGCAAGTCGTGTTGAAAACTAAGTCTTTGCACGTTTTGTGTTGGAAGCTACGACGCTTTGCACGTTTCTTGTTATGGAATTCCAAAGAAATTCTGAATTGAGACTCTATCACGAATCTGCGATTAGAGGTCTATAAAAATCACAAGTTTCCATCAGTGTTTATGCCAGTATACTTCTCCTATACATTCCAATTTTCATTTCAATGCTGAATATATTGGTAAGTTATATTTCTATATCATTATACATTATATTATTCATCCGATTTGAAGAAGAATGTCAATTCTCAATTTCGGAGGATTTTATTTTTTATTTTTCATGTTCCCCTTTTGAATGTTCATCAGATATAATTCAATGTTCGACGTGGCAAATAGCCAGGAAAGTAGTTGTTTTCTGTTGAATATTCAGAATGTGTGCATATACATATTTTTGTCTGAAGGAGAATGCAAATTCTCAATCTCAGAAGTTTTTATATTTTATTTTCAAACTCTCATCGTGTGTGTTGAATAGATATAATGCAATGTTCATCGTGGCATATAGCCAGGAAAGTAGTTGTTTGCTATTGAATAAACTGAAAAAGAGTATATATTCTCATCACATAGAGAATGCGAATTCTCAATGTATTGCTTCATTTAAATATATGATATTAATAAATAAATAAATAAATATATATCCATTCTTATATGTTCATAATTTATCTGAGAATATTTCTTTTCAACATCAACAAGATGATGAAAAGTTGCTCGAACCTTCGAACGCTGGCGAGTAATAGCGAAGTGGCTAGCGTAATGGAATCTGAACTGCGAGAGCAAAGCTAGTCTCAGGATTGGCCGTGTTAGATCTTTTCGAAATGTATTTCAATTACTATTTCTTCTGTTCCAGTTTCTTGAATTGATTTCATTCTGTTGATTAGTGATCGGTTGATATTCAACAGTTTTTCCGAATAAGTATTCATGCATTGAAGAATTACGCGAACACAACCGCTACCGGTCGACTCATCGAAATTCATTCGGGTTGCTAGATTGGTTCAAGCCGCTTGGGGTATCTGCTGTTCTGTACACGTGATTGTCTTTGTTCAGTTTTAACGTTACGGTTTGGATGAATGAATTTGGTATATTTTTGTGTTTATGTGTGTGATAATGATCTGTACCCCTTAAATCAAACAAAAGTTTGTTTAAGCAAAACCAATACTGGGGTGTTTTTTTCCTCTTCATTACTGAAGTGTTTTGTAATACTCACCATGAGTTGCTTGTCGAAGTACCCCATATCTATCTAAAATTCTGCAAGCTTCCAGAGCACATTGAACTACGGCTTCTTTTTTCTTGCCTTTATGAAGTACTTCCGCAACTATAGGTTGTCCTACATCATCGTCAACAGGAAGTACAACTTTACATAAAAATTGGCCCATCCCTGAACAAAAAGAGATTAATTGAATGAGTGTGTGAAACGTAAGTAGTAGGTATTCCAAAAGATACCTTGTTCACTGCAATTATATTCAAGTTCTAAGCCTTCCCTTTCAAAGAAGCCTCTAAGAGCCTTTTTTGGATCATCTAAATATAATTCCTCATTATTACTTTGAGCAAAAGGATTCTCGGATAAATCAGTGTCCTCATCAGCATCTTCACCTGAAATATTCGAAATATCAAAGAATAGCAGGAATACCGTTTCACAGTTGTTATTATCTACCCATTCCCCAATCGACTCCTCTTTCTTCTTCCCTGATTACTTTTTCCTCCATTTCCTTCTTAATTCTCAAAGCTTCTTCCCTACGCTTATTCAATTCATCTTCTCTCTTTTGCTTCAGTTCAGATATTGTGAATTCCGACTCAACTTCTTCATCATATTCAGGTCCATTTAATATATACGAGCGAGTACTACATCCTAGTTTCAGCATATGTCCCACCTGAAAGTTTACCACTTTGTATACAGTTGCTAATCGCTTCATTGAAGAAACCAAATCAACCATGACTCATGTCAACTGTGTCAAAAAGACACTTGCTGACAAAATATTTTCATCATCTCAAAATTTTACCAAAATGGATTCATCCACAAACAAGAATCTGAAAGGAATGATAAATGAAGCATTACAATCATCAGAGAACATCAAGATAAATACAGACGATTCTGATCAGCCATTTTCACCACATGATATTCAATGTGGAAAGTCATTACAGCAGATCAAAAATATTTTCGAGAAAACTGAAGCTATGAGAGAAGTTGCTAAAGAAAAGAATCATCAGCTTCAAGAACAGTTCAAAGATCTCAAGGAAAGGCTGAGTTCTAGTTCAGAGTATCTACTGAGAATTAAAAAAAACATTGAAAACTTGAAGTTTTCTTATCAGAAGAATGTTATTGAAATACAGAAAAATCTAGATCCAGCAACTGAAGTGGAAAATATCAAATCAAAAGAGGACATGGCCAAACATATGAACGAGATAAGAAATAAAATTGATGATTTGCAGAACAAAATGACCGAACAAAGAAATAAACAACAATATGTGACAGAAAGTTACCAGGAAGCTTTTGATAAAGTAATAGATACTCTACAAGAAATTGAAACTGGTGCTTACAGTTCTCAAATGCTGAGTATTGTGCAAGACTGAAAATTTGTCCTACCTGCATTCTTGCATAAACCTTAGGTTTCAGTCTGTTTTTATTAAGAAAGGTGCCATGTGTACTACCCAAATCATACAAATAAAATCCAGGAACTTCAGTTTCAGATGGTTCACTTCTATACTGAAGTACTGCATGAAATCTGAAAAAAAAGTATAAATCTTATGTAACACTGTCAGAATAAAAAAACAAACATATATTTTGTTCTAATCATTGTATTTGAACGATTATTCATGCTACAAATGTTTTGTCGAAGTGTAGAAGTTACATTTCTTCACCCATAGAATTGCCTTCATCAAGTTTTTGTCCCTGTTGGTAGGAATTCTTAATTATTGTATTGGAAGTGTAGAAATTACATTTCTTCTCCCAAAGAATTGCCTTTATCAAGTTTTTGTCCCTGTTGGTAGGAATTCTCGATTATTGTATTGAAATTGAAGTAGTTTCTTCATGAAGGTAAGCAAGACTCAAGGATAATACAATACAGCAGGATAGTTAATTCTGGCAGTTTTGTCTGCTGTGGGTATTGCCTAAATGACAGACCTAAATTCAAAAATGTTCATTGTCCATTGGGAACAACTGTATTGTCGAATGAATTGCTGATTTATTTTGAACTATGATAGTTTCAGAATATAGATTGTTCATAAATGGTGGTGATTTGAAGCTTCAAATATCACTACTTAGCAGGAAAACATGTTAATCTACGTGAAAATCCACTTTTTATTGTGAAACTTGTTGCAGGGTATTTCTATAGAGCAAGAATAAGAAACTCACTCAATAAAATAATAGATTCTCTCTAAATGACTATATTAGTCAAAGAGAAACTGTGATTTCAAATACTTAACTATCGTTATTAATGCTCATAGTTATATGGTTTAAATGAAGAATTTAACTAAATCATCAATTCATTACAATTTCTCAGTAGGTTAGGTTAGGTTAGGTTAGGTTTCTCAGTAGGTTACTGGCATATTTTTCAATTCATCAATAAGTAGGTAGGTACTCCTGTTTTTTCAGTGCAGCCTCTATTCTTCAGCTACTTACTAAATCTCTTGGTAGATATATAGTTTTCCTGTTGAGACCGTTGGGAGTGTATCTACATATTTCGTTTTCCTGGGTTTGCATATATCGCGTGTCCCAAATTCGATCCTCAGCATTGGTATCTTGGTAACTGAGAGAGATAGAGAGACGGTAAAATTACTAAAGTTTTAGCAAATTCAAATCGTGATTCAGAATCCGTCGTGGAATCTTGACTAGCTTCAGTCATTTCAGAGTTATTCAAGAAATTTTGAATTGACTCGGCCGTTACTTGATGGAAATCCATGAAAAATGTAAAAACTTCACAAACGATAAGATTTCCACAAAATTCTCAAACAGACGACATGTTTCGCTAACACAGTAGCTTCGTCAGGTGATATACTGATCAATCCTTCAGGTTGGGAAAGTAAGATATATAAAAGTTAAGCAAGCCAACGTTAGTTTAGTTCATTGTACCAGTATATCACCTGATGAAGCTGCTGTGTTAGCGAAACATGTCGTGTGTTTGAGAATTTTGTGGAAATCTTATCGTTTGTGAAGTTTTTACATTTATTCAAGAATAACTGAAATTCGTTTTTCTCGAATATTTCGAAAAATATTGATTGTATGAAAAGAGGACTTCATTATTATGATCTTTAGAATGGTCTTGTCGATTTCTGAAAATAAAAAGGAAAGTGATAAAGACAATAAATTGGAGGGCATATCTCAGAAAGGACCCCGCACTTTTAGTACGTAAAATGGTTCTCGGTGAAATTTTCTGAATTTTCAGTATGTTGTAGAATTCGATGAACTGATTGAACCTGCAGAATCGTAAAGTTCTTTGATGAACAGATTCTGAGATACAGGGCGTTGAAGTTACAAATCGGTATTTTTCATTTAATTATTTTCTCGAAATTCAAAGATGCCAAGTACAATTTTTTTCGCTCATATCATCAACGAACCTCCATATTACTCAACATAATTCAGATAGTTCAGATAATGTAATTGTTTACAGAGTGAAACATATAAACATTTCAGTGATGTCTGAAAATTCGAAGTAATAATGAAATATCGAAAAAATAATTTAGGCATGCAATATACTATTCTCATTCCATCATGAATCACAATTCATACATTTCATACAGGGTGATTTGAAAAATTGATGACAGCTAAGACCGATTAATTCATACACATCCTGTATATTCGAGTGAGTTGTTAACCTCCCAAGATAGCTGATACCGTATGAACATGATTTCGTTGAGATATATAGGGTGATCATGAAGATTTTCGATGATGAAAATCGTGTTTTCTTAAATCACCCTGTTATTCATGATTAACTCGGTGAAATTCCCTAATTATTTTTTAATATATTCATCATTCGCTCCTCAACGCTGTCTTGAAAATTCAGTTTCCTATCATGACGGGTGTCATAGTTATTAATTCAGGAACTTACCATACCAGACAGCACTGGATATTCCTAAAATATTCTCTAAATATGCTAAAAAGGAGGAGTATATTCCGAATATTCATCGATTATTCCTAGAATATATACATGCCTCTGGAACATCTGCTGAAAGGAATATTCCAAAGTGAATAGTCGGATATGTTTAGGGAATATTCAGGTATGAATTTTCCAGGAATATTCTCAACTGAATATTCTCTGTTGTATATTCATGAAATATTCCCAACTGAATGTTCTGTGGGATATATTCATGAAATATTCTCAACTGAATATTCTGTGCGGTATATATTCATGAAATATTCTCAACTGAATATTCTGTGGTGTATATTCATGAAATATTCCATGAATATTCCTATGTTTCTCAACACATAAATACCAATCATTATTTCAGAGATGTGAGTATCAAACATCAATTAGATGCAAGGGGATTTCGAAACAAAAAGTATTCATGATCCGATTTCGATCAACGCTCTGACAAGAAATTTATATGTACAACATTATTCATTTCGATTACTGGCCTAGTGGTCAAGGCGTTGGTCTTGAGGTCACGAGTTCGATCCCTACTTGGGTCACTTTTTTTTATTTTAGAATATGTTCATTGGAATATTCCAGGAACATTCAACATAGAATATTCTATTGGGTATATTCCATGAATATCTGAGGAATTCCCATTCGCATATCCAGAGAATATTCTACAAATATTCCGGAATATTCCAGATTATTTCTAGAATATTCCAATATTTCAAAAGGAATATGATAGGGAGATTCATGGAATATCTGGTGCTGTCTGGGATTTGCATGAAGAGTTGAAGAGACTTGTTCACTTACATTCGCATAGTGGCCGATATTTTTCACAAATAGTTAAACTTGAGAATGTGGAGACGAAAATAAGTTTAGTATTCATATACAGGGTGAACATTAGAAATTCAATAAGAATAACAGATATATGAATTTAATAATATTAATATAATGTACAGATAGTTAGGCGAATTTCGTTGGTATACAAGCTCTGCCAAAATGAAAAACGAACAATACCTAGGAGATGGGAGAATGATTCGGTCTTTCACGCTTCCATTTCTAATAGGGAGAGTTGAATCCTGGAATCGACAGATTTTTTCACATTTGTTTTCCACTCAGAATCAGGCGTTTCCATCATTTTCATATTTGCTTGTTATCAGTAATTATTATAATATCATTAGATTCATATTCATATCACATTCCAATGATATAATTCAATACGTATGATGGTGTAATATAAATAATCCTATTATACTGGATGTTTCCGAAATAGCAGCGATAAATATGAAAAGGTGTTGCATGGGACATAATGACACAAAAATACTGAACTTGTCACGCAGCTACTGATTGATTTCAGATTGGGTGTTGTAACTTAGAATATTCCCTTTGTGGAATTTATTGTTCATCAATTTATGAAGACTTGAAGAAACTTGTTCATTTACATTCGTCAAGTGGCCGAGATTTTTCACAAATAGTGAAACGTGAGAATGTGGAGATCAAGTGTAACATAAATGATCTATGAAGGCCCATTTTGGCAGAGCTTGTATACCAACGAAATTCGCCTAACTATCTGTACATTATATTAATATTATCAAATTCATATATCTGCTATTGTTATTGAATTTCTAATGTTCACCCTGTATATAAATACTAAACTTATTTTCGTCTCCACATTCTCACGTTTCACTATTTGTGAAAAATATCGGCCACTGCGAATGTAAGTGAACAAGTCTCTTCAACTCTTCATCCAAATGGTAAGTTCCTGAATTAATAACTATGACACCCGTCATGATAGGAAACTGAATTTTCAAGACAGCGTTGAGGAGCGAATGATGAATATATTAAAAAATAATTAGGGAATTTCACCGAGTTAATCATGAATAACAGGGTGATTTAAGAAAACACGATTTTTTGTCATTTTCATCATCGAAAATCTTCATGATCACCCTATATATCTCAACGAAATCATGTTCATACGGTATCAGCTATCTTGGGAGGTTAACAATTCACTCGAATATACAGGATGTGTATGAATTAATCGGTCTTAGCTGTCACCAATTTTTCAAATCACCCTGTATGAAATGTATGAATTGTGATTCATGATGGAATGAGAATAGTATATTGCATGCCTGAATTATTTTTTCGATATTTCATTATTACTTCGAATTTTCAGACATCACTGAAATGTTTATATGTTTCACTCTGTAAACAATTACATTATCTGAACTATCTGAATTATGTTGAGTAATATGGAGGTTCGTTGATGATATGAGCGAAAAAAATTGTACTTGGCATCTTTGAATTTCGAGAAAATAATTAAATGAAAAATACCGATTTGTAACTTCAACGCCCAGTATCTCAGAATCTGTTCATCAAAGAACTTTACGATTCTGCAGGTTCAATCAGTTCATCGAATTCTACAACATACTGAAAATTCAGAAAATTTCATCGAGAACCATTTTACGTACTAAAAGTGCGGGGTCCTTTGATATTTTCAACAAAAACTGACAAAACCATTAGAAAGATCACTAAAAAGTAATACTAGAATGTTGAAGTCGTTTTATCATACAATCAATAACTTTCGAGATATTTCAGAAAAACAAAAATACGACATATCAGTTTTTCTTAAATAACTCAAAAATGACTGAAGC